ATGACGCATCCCCCAGAGGTTGCAGCATCCACTCATTATGTATGCGTGATATACCCACCCCCCCTCCCCCCTCCCACTGGCCCATCATGATGGAGACTCAGACTTTTGGGGGGAGGGGGGGAAATGGGCATTTATTGAAACCTTAAAATCTGTACCCCCATAATATGCCAAAATAAAAAAAAAATTAAAAAAAAAGTGACAAAACAAAATTCAACCTTATTTGTAGTGATTTCACTGTCCCCTTTTCATTTGGTCTTCAGGGTATCCTACACGTTCCAAATACTATTACCCCCCATTGAATTTTCCTTCACAGAACATCAAAATTTAAAACTACATAGAGTTAAATTAAATATCAAATCAGCCAATAAAGAGGACAATTTATTTGTGTAGATCTATTTATATAAATAGATTTTATAGTTATATAGATCTATATGTATTTTACAAATTGCCATATATGTGGATATAGGTAAAATTATATACCATCACATAATGCAATAATGCATGCATTAAGTAAATAAGTTATCATTAGCCTGAGACCTATGTTAAAGTGATGATTAGTTGTTAATATCCACATGTCTTTTCAGTACCTCCTCAGAGTCCCCTAGGCAGAAGCTGTGAGACAGCTAGATATCAAAGTTAAAAAAAACTAAAACAACTTTTTAGGAAGCTGAGTTTAGAAGCTTTGTTCTAAGCTTTCTCTGTAAGTCCTTTATTTACTAGGTATATTTATCTTTAGGACAGTGGTTTCAAACTAAGAGCAATACTGTCTGGAAATTTTTTAGTTGTCACAACTTGGAGGTTGTAGGGGCAGGAGTAGTTGCTACCAGCTCCTAGTGGCTAGAGGACAGGGATGCTGTTAAACATCCTGCAATGCACAGCATAGTTCCCCAAACAAAGAATTACCTGGGTCATAATGTCAGTAGTGTTGATATTGAGGATGTTGAGAAATGGAGCTCTGGAACAAGGATAATGAAAGGTTTCAATTGTTAAAAAGTCACTGTAATCAGCAGTGGCTGGTACAGATATATATATTTTTACCTTAAGAAAGATTTTGAGGCTATTTTCAATCATGAAGTAAATATTGTTGGTATTTTAGTGATGTTTCCTCTCACATGAGTGACAGATGAAACCAGGAGGTACATTTTCTACTTATTTAGAGTTCTATTTGTCTATGATGCATCAAAGGACTAAGAACCTAAAAGCTTGTTATTTGAAGTAATTATTCATCTTCTGGTTACTTTTTCTTCCCTGTGTGTCTTTGGCAAAGAAAATTTAATTTGAGATTGGGTGAAAAAAGTATGAAATCCTTTTGAGTGTAGAGGTGATTTGTTTAACTCAGAGCTGGCGTGAATCCTGTGCCAGTAACTTATTTCATTCCAAATCCCATTAGCTATCTTTTACATGTATTCACAGACACCTGAAATTTAACCACCATTTTTCACTGTACAATGTGATATAACAATATAACAATTAAAACAAAAGATCATTAGGCTCAATGCCTTATTTTATATATAGATTACTACTGCTTGGTTACATGTTTTGCTTAGAAAACATGTAAAGAAAACAAGACAAAATTTAACATAGTCAAGTGTAGCAGAATTTCTGAAAAGTATTTCCTAGGTTACACTTATGGACACATGGAAGTTACTGCATGCTTTCTTTACCAATCATAGAGCATGAAATATTCAAAACTATCCAAAAATAACATCTTGATGATGATGTCCCAAATCTAACATGTTTGGTTTCCTGGAGCAGCAAGCAACAAAAACATGTTTTGCAGAAAATGATATAGCATATGCCAGGATAGGGTGATAATTATCATCAGCTTTCATGTTTAATGGTGATAGGATGTTATTACAGCCGTCATATCTACTAGTGTCTTATAATCAAGTTTAAACATAGTCTTGGAGTAGCAGAGCCCAGCTCTGTGATTTTGTGACAGAGAAAAAAGTGCATTTCATGAAAGGTTCTAAACATCCCAAAGGAGGAAAACAAAGTCACTTACATGGAGGTACAATTAACATTCAGTTTTCCTCCTTAGGTTTCTCTCCCTGCACTTAATGCCTAGAGACAATCAGTGGCTTTCTAGTATTTATATGTATTATCATTTCTATGATTATAACATCATTTTTCTCCTCAAGCTTTCCAGTGGTTTCTGTGTCTCCAAACCAGATGTCTGTATCATGGTCAATGAAGTCCTCCACAGCCCAGCCATTGACTCACTCCCTGATTTCATGTGCATCTTCCACTCTTGCTTACTCTGTCTTAGCTTCACTGGCCTCCTTGCAATTCCTGTGAAAAGGTAAACATGCTCTTACTTCAAGGACTTTAATTTACAGTTTGCCCTACTTGAAATGCTCTTCCTTTTGATTTATGTGTAATTCACCCTCTCGATGAAGATGAATGACCTTGGCTATTTAAGTGTGACACCGTCCCTCCTAGCTTCATCAAACCCTGGCCACCCTCTGTCTTCCCTCCCTGCCACATTTTTCTACAAAAGGGTGTGTTCCATTTCCTGTTAGGCTTTTTTCTTTGTAGTCTGAATAAATTGTACATTAATTGCAATCTTTTTTATCTGATATATTTTATACTATTGCACATCATATACTTAAATGCTCTATTATCAACATCTGAATGATCTAAACTAAAATGAATCCCAGACCATTGTTTAATTACAAATCAAGGAGGTTTTTAAAAAATGTCTTTATGCATCATAAACATTGATAATTTTTCCTGGAATTCAGAAGTTCTTTTCTTTTCTTTTTTTGTAAATAATAGCTGAAATAAAGGGTACATAGTTATTCAACCACTTGCAAAATTCACATGATGGAAAATACTAATTATTTCCCTGTTATTCCTATTTTGCTTACCTCCTTTTGAATTGCTTCTTAATTAATGAAGGAAGAATTTGAGATCATTTTATTAATATTTATAGTTCTAGGTCCTCGCACAGTGCCTGGCACATACTAGATAATTAATAAATGTTGATTACATTAAAGAATGGATAATTTAGTAGTAGAATTACTTAGTAATTAGTAATTAGAATTAATAACAGAATATTTTCTATATGACTTTTGAAAGCAGGCACTCTGCAGTATCTTTTGTATGTTTCCCTAGTTTCAAAAATATGTAAATATGGAAACAAACTAGTTCCTATGAATGATCTTGCTGTTTTCAAAGGCATGCTAATTAACTTTCTGACTTTCCAGTTAAATTCTTTCTTTAAAGAATGTGATGTCAATCTTTAACTTTCAACTTAACTGTATTTTGTAATTTAATGACCATATTGACGAATCTCTTTTTATGACAAATCTAAATTCTATGTATCTTTTGAATGGCATGTGTTCTCACTGACAGATCACATGAATATACTACATGTTTTCTGAATTTAATAACTAATCTTTTAAATAAAATTCTATGCCAAAATGCCAGCATTTCTCTGGGTTTGTTCCTAAGATTTAAAAAGGATTTCAACAAATTCTAATTTTAAGATTATATGTTTTGAGGATATGAAAAATTTAATTTAATATCTTACATTTTGACCTAAACTATCCCTTCTTCTAAGTACTATTAGTTTCTTAGGGATATCATAACAAAGTAGCACAAACTGGGTGTCTCAAAATGACAGAAATTTATTGTCATGCAGTTCTAGAGACTAGAAGTCCAAAATCAAGGAGTCAGTAGGGTGATGTTCCCTCTGAAATTTATAGGGGAGAATCCTTCCTATAACTAATTTTTGTGACTGTTTAAAGGTAGGGGTTCTGTTTCATTCTTCTGTATGTGGCTATCAGATTTTCTTGGCACTGTAAATACTTTTTAATGTCAGATGCTAGCACCTAAAGAATATAAAAATATAAGTTGTTTTTAATTCCATTTTGGTTTTCTTTTTGTCCCTTGCCCACCCATCTGACTTCTAAATATTTAAAATAATTTTTGACAAGACAATTGATTTTTTGTCTAGTTTTTCCTAGACTTTGATTAACTTAATAGCATCCCTTGCTATAAAATCAATTTAAATTAATGACATATTATTATATTAATAAAGAAATGTCATTTTTGCTTTAATTATTTTTATATTAATTGTTTTAGTTTGGTACTTTATCTCCTCCCATAAATGATTTGCTGTGTTGCAGTTTTCTATTTTTTGTGGTTGTAGAATCAATTGCTTAATATCTCATCTTCATTTGTATGTCAACAGAGCGACAGTGCAAAAAGTCATTTTTGTCTATCATCTTGAAATGATACAGTAAGTGAAAGTCATGTTCACACAAATTTGGCTTTAACCCAGATAACAAGAAGTATTTGAGTCAAAACACAGACACGTGCTCTTCATAAATTCTCACAGATTACAGTAACCTTGCACAGGTTGAAATGACTTCACTTGGTATAGGCAAGTTGACCTTTGATTTATTTTCCTTCTAAAAGTAAAACTACTTTAGCTTGGGCAAAATGCTTAGACAGCAGGCAAAAGTGATATCGTTCCATTCAAGTCATGTTGGTTTCATTTTGAACAGTATTTTAGAAGTGAGTGGGAGACAAGTTTTACAGATCAAGTAAATGAAAGGACAGGTTATCAGTACCAGCAGGTGTGTATTAATAAAATGAAGCCATTTTTGTCTAAAAAAGGTCATTTGGAAGGAGAGTACAGTACCTCAGATTTAATTTCTTGTCTTTTAATGATTCTGGAATCATTCTAGAAAATAACACTGGTCAAGGATAAAACAAAGAGAGAGAAGATATACCAATTGTGTGTCATTACTTCAAATTGTAATCACCATGTACTGGTTATGGCTCTCAATTTGCTTCTCAGGTATACAAGAAATAAATCTTAATTTTATAAAATTATTTTAGTTCTTATTTAAACTCATAATTCACTATGGGAGAGGTAAAATTCTAATCTCAGTCAATCTGAAGTTCACCTTTTACCAGGTCAGATTTAAATTCCAGGGCCCTTAACTAGTTTTAAAGGATTGGAGATGAAGGGACCACCTGGTTCTCAACTGTCTTTTCTGCCTGATATTTGCTGAGACACTTATTTACCCATCTCATCTTTGGACATCCATCTGCAGAGACCATCATGGAGATTTTCCTCATAGAGGCAACCAGGCCCCTTCATATCAAAATAGTATTGCCCACAGTTCTAAACCCTGGTGGTGAAGATCCTGTTGATTTGCAGATCCCACAAACCAATATTGGGTACTGCTGCTGGTTTTTGATCACTTTGTCTCTCATTTTCCTCTCCATCTGGGGCAATCTCTTCTAGTCAGTCTATCGAGCACTGGGGAGCATGGAGAGGCAGAGGTGAGGAGGGAATACTCTGAACCTCCTCAAACTCACCATTTTCAAATATTTATTCATTTAATTTTAAATTATAATTCCTGTGTGAGCAAAATCATCATCACCTAGAACTTGTTAACAGTCCCATACTGCCACTTACAAATCAGAAACTCTGAAACTGGGGCAAGGGATAGAGCAAGCCATGATCTAACAAGCTATCCATGTAACTCTGAAGCACACCAAGTTTGAGAACCACTGACTCAGTCTACACCAAGATTGGCTTTATTCCCCTAAGAACTTTTAAATATAAAAATCATAAAGGGAAGCTATTTTTCCCTTTATTTTTCATTCTATCACATCCATCTCCTGGGTCCATGAGCATGAAGTATTCTAGGTGCTTGAAAAGGAAGTAGCATATGGAGGAAACTTTAGTTATAAGATTAAAAAGACATACTGGCAATATTGCAAATATATTACCCTTCTAAAACTTTTATAAAAAGCCAGGGCAGAAAGAAATTGATTAAAGCAGAAAGAAATTTAACTTCATGTAAATGTATTAAAGCAGGGAGAAATATTCAAACCTTTTGCAGATCCATTCTAAGTTATCATATAGGTTTAATACTTGTAGGTTAATATGGACATGTTGTTCATGTTGATCATCTACAACAGGAACTTTCAAGCTTTAGTAAGCTCAAGGGTCTTTTAGAAAGATAATTCTCAATGCAGATTTTCAGGCCTAACCTAAAAGGTTTTGGTTCTGAAATATCGATTTTTTTTTAACAAAGACTGCAATTCATGGATCACAGGTTGAAGAACAACATTTAGAGAGTTTTTGCCCAACACTATTCATTTATATGTATACATATATTTTTACTATCAAATCCCTTTATCTCCTCAGAAAAATTTAAGTCTAGCATATTTTATTTAAATATCACAAATATTCCTGAGCAACTATACATTCAATAAAGTTGGTTTTTCTTTAGAGTTCAATAATTATTCTTCAGTAAGAGAATTTTTAAAAAGAGCCATTTTAATTAAACTCATTCCCTTTCCTTCCAATGGACATTTATAGAACAGCAGCTTTTTCTTAATGACTTAAAATCAGAGACTATATCTTTTTACCTTAAACCCAATAGTGATTGGTACAATGACTTGCATATAGTAATTGTCAAATCAATGCCTAATAACTGAATGTAGATGTGTTTAGAATGAGAGCTATTAGGCTTTTTCAAACCCTGGTAATTTTCTCTGGCTCAACTAGAATTTAAGGATATTTGAGATATAGCCCCAGACGGTTATACTTTTCTATACATTAAAAAAAGTTTCCCCCCAATCTTTCTTGAACATCAGATAACATGCTATCAGGGTAGCAAATATTTACCCAACTTGTAATTTGCACTGAGTGTTCAAAAACTAGATAACCATGCTCAGTAGAAATGTTTATAACTCATAAATAGGTTTTGATAAAGGGCTTGATATCATGGGCATAACATTCAATTTGTCTTATGAGAGGATGGTATTTCCTTCGTGGCTTTCAGCTATGTTCTAAAGACTTTAAAATAATCGCCTAAGAGAGAAGACATCCTTTTAAGGTTATCTCACTTGGGAGCAAATACAGGATTTCTTCAGTAGTCATAGTCCCTAACTAGGAGGCTTAACTATAGAATTTAATGATGTCATATGGCTGAAGTGTATTTTTTTTGGAACAGGGAGGCTAAGAAGACTATAATGCCATTGAAATGCAGTGGTGGTCCCAGAAACTTGTTCTTCACATGGACAGATTGAACCACAGTTTTTGTTTTTTCTAGGAATTCAAATAATATATGTGTTATTTTAGAGGGCGAAAATACTGCTCACATTTTCACTTTCTCTGGCAGTATCTCATAGCATTTTCATGTAAACTTTCACTCTTCTTATTATTATTATTTAGAGACTTATATATGAACACAGGAGAATTATCCCTGAGTTAGGTTGGATGGACTGGGGAGGGATAATACTATCTCAGGTGTTAAGAG